GTCATGGAGCGTTGCGTGCGTGCGCCTGCACGTACACATCGTGCATGTGCGTGCGTGCGTTTTGCACTACACGTTAGTGCGTTGCGTGCGTGTGTACTGTACCCATGCGTGCATCCGTACTGTTGTGGCTTGGCGTGCGTGCGTATGCACGTACAGGCGGTGCGTGTATGCGGTGGCGTATGTACGTCGGCACGGACGGGCGTCGTGCACGTACAGCACGTGCGTTGCATTGGCGTGCGTGGCGTGTTGCACGTACACAGTTATGTTTGCGTGCGTGGCGTTGGTACGTACACGATGCCGCCCGTGCGTGTCGTGCCCGTGCGTGGTAAACGTGCACGTGTGTGGCGTGCCGTGGTGGCCGTGTGGGCATGACATGTAGCGTGCATGCGTGCGTGGCGTGGTGTGCGTTGCGTTCGTGGCAGTGTAGCAGCGGTGTGCATGGGCGTGGTCGGTGGCGTGCGTGGGCGTGTGCACGTCCTACGCGTGTATGGGTTCGTTTTCTATAACTAAGTGACTGCATGGAATCCGGCAAGAAACTACTGCAAACGCTCGAAAGTAAAAATGAGCTAATAACTAAGTGTCTTATATAGCAGTTTTCGGATAATTACCTAATTAAGTAGACGTGGCTAGTATAGTCAGGCCTCTCTGAAGTGGATCGTCTGCAGACTTTAACTAAGCGCATTTTAATCAGCTGGTTATAGTTCGCTCACTGAGGATACGATGCTATTCGTGATTCCTGTATCTTTCCAACTGACCGGTTGATTGCGCAATCGTTGTAACACCTCTAACTCCAGCTGCGCCACCTGCTGACAAAGCTAGCGGCTAACCCCATTGCTTTAAAAATTTTAACTACCACTTCTTACTGGTTCTAACTATGTTGTCGTCACGTCAGTTGTTATTTAGGGTCAGTCTCGCATCAGTCAAGCATCTGTCGTCAGACTTCAGAATTGGGCAGTCACATTCTCAAATTTGATTAAGTCTGTGAACCTCTACAGCATAGTAGCTATGCGTTGTGAGGATCTACATGGCAGCAGGATGCAGAGTTTTACTGGAATTATCCATTGTTCTATTCTATTTAGCAAGCCTCAGCTGGCGCCACCTTGTGGTGTAGGCGAACAAGTAACTTTGAAGTCAGAATGACAGTGTACCGCTTTAGCTGGGGTACTTTAAAATTATTGTATCCCCCGCGACGAAGTTGGCGGGGATACTATGGTTTCATGTCTCCCCAGCTGCCGCCGCCGCAGACAATTTCCCTTCTGCTCTATAACTCGACCCCTAATTCACCTAGCGCTACCAAACTTGGTATACTTACACATCTTGGGGAGAAGGTGAGCAGCGTACCAAAACCAGGTCACTGTGACCTTTATTTGACCTTTACCTTGACCTTGATAATATTTCCCTTCCGCTCTCTAACTCGGCTCCTAATTGACCTAGCGCTACCAAACTTGGTATACTTACACGTCTTGGGGAGAAGGTGAGCAGCGTACCAAAACCAGGTCACTGCGACCTTTATTTGATCTTTACCTTGACCTTGATTATATTTTCTTTCCACTCTATAACTCTGCCCCTAATTGACCTAGCGCTACCAAAACCAGGTCACTACGACCTTTATTTGACCTTTACCTTGACCTTGATCATATTTTCCTTCCGCACTCTAACTAGGCCCCTAATTGACCTAGCGCTACCAAACTTGGTATACTTACACATCTTGGGGAGAAGGTGAGCAGCGTACCAAAACCAGGTCACTGCGACCTTTATTTGACCTTTACCTTGACCTTGATCATATTTCCTTCCCGCTCTATAAATCTGCCCCTAATTGACCTAGCGCTACCAAAACCAGGTCACTACGACCTTTATTTGACCTTTACCATGACCTTGATTATATTTCCCTTCGCTCTATAACTCGGCCCCTAATTGACCTAGGCAGGGCTCGAATTAACCGACGGCACCGACGGCAATTGCTGTCGGTGCCCCTATCAATCGCCGTACTGCCCCTGAAAATCCAACTCGACCGACGGCAGTCACCTGCCTTTGCCCTTTTGTGTAATTGCCGTCGGTGCCCTTTAATCTACTGCCCTAGTTTCGTTTTTAGTCAAATCAACATAACACGTGCGCGTGCGTGCTGTAGTTGCAATGATGAGCTTGAAACCGATAGTCGCAGGAGGGAATAATAACAGCATCAGATAATTATTCACTCCTGATAGCGGGCATGTAAAATTGTTACTGTACTTCCATTAGCAGAGGGGGCTACAGGGGTCGGGGTTACGGTGTAAGCTTACATGGGATGATGAGGGCATATTGTTTTGTACATTAAAAGCAAGACGATGTTGATGTACTAATTTCTTATGAGTTTTCCTTTATTTTACAAAAGTGCCTTGGTGCCCTTCTCAAATTTTGAGAGTTGTCTTGGTGCCTTTTAAAATTGCCTCTGTGCCCTTCCATTTTAGAGAAAATTCAAGGCGATTTCTCACATGCCCTAAAAAAATTGCCTTGCCCTTCTCGTCGCTTAATTCGAACCCTGGACCTAGCGCTACCAAACTTGGTATACTTACACATCTTGGGGAGAAGGTGTCGCGTACCGAAACCAGGTCATTGCAACCTTTATTTGACATTGACCTTGACCTTTATCATATTTCCCTTCCACTCTATAACTCGGCCCCCTAATTGACCTAGCGCGACCAAACTTCGTATACTTACACATCTTGGGGAGAACACGAGGGATTCATGTAGTTGGCGACAACTGCCCTTTCTAGTTTTCAATTAAATTTAGTGTAAATAATGGTATATATAGCATATATATATATATATATACAATTATAATACTTGCTGTATATATATACAAATTTAGTAGTTTAATATCCACTAGAATTAATTAAATAAATTTTAATTGTCCGTGATTTTTTGCGTACATCACTGTTTGCACCAACACTTTTGCTGCTACAAGCAAAGTTTCACTTGGTAAATTTTTTTCCACATATTACAGACTGGGCGTTTTACAGCAAATGTAAATGTTTTCTAATATGAAATAGTTCTGAGGGTTGTCCAGAGTGTTGTCATTTGTTAAAGTTGTACCAAGTTATGTACCAAGACAATGGTTTACACATGAACAAGAGTGTCTGGTCCTTACATCTACACTCAGTCCTTACATCTCAGTCTAGATCGTAGTAATGGTAGTGATACAGGGTTTCTTATTATACAGAAGAGGCACAGTGGCGCACCACCGTTGTCGAATTCAGTGTTTCCCCTGCATTGACATGAGCGAGGCGGGCTGCCTCACTCAAATTCTCAGCCACCACACAGAAATTTGTCCAAAACACCGCCTCGCTGACGAAAATCACTGTTCTTCCATAGCACAGTGCTTATAATGCACCAAATTGCACAATTTTTCAAAAATATTCTAGGAGGGGGCATGCCTCGGACCTCCTTAGCTGGGCTGCGCTTTGCTAGGACCTCGAAACGTGCAAACACACCAAAACAAAATTTACCACCTCACAGACTTTTTGGCCAGGGGAAACACTAAAAATTTAGCATCGCCGTTGTGAAAATGTTCCTGTATTTACTGATAAGCATATCCTGTATCTATGTACCTATAGATAAGTATATCAATACATCCTGTCAAGAGCGTATTAAGAAGGAGAGCGTACAACGGTGAAATGCTGAAACCATGTTGCTGTATTAGTCGAATTAAGAAACTTTGCCCGTTTTATATTGACGATTCTTTGCGGTATTATTGATCAGCTGTCCTACCTTGCTAATATAAAATGAACCGCTTGTCCCTACGATGCCCCTACGCTGAGATAATGAGCGGTGAAAATCTGGTATTTTTGCCGAAAACTGACTCGAGATCCCTGTTGGCTGCGGCCCTCTCTCGCTTTGTGGCCAGTTTGTTGCTTCCGGTCGCCGCTACGTAGCGCCATGGTAGCGCTGACTCATTACGTCATTACTAATACTACAGAGTTTACTACATCCAGCATGAGGTGGGGGTCATCACTATGGCAATCAATAACAGACGTCATCGTGGCGTAATGGCCGCGTCCATGACTGGGAATGCGAGAAAGGATAGTAGAAGGAAAAGAAATCTAAAATCAACAAAACTGTCAAGGTCTAGCACTCTGTTGAGGTAGTCCAAGTTTTGGCATAGCTCGTGAAACTGAATGTTCTGCCATTGCACTGCCTTCACACGTTATACAGGAAAGTTGTAAATTGTAGTCGCAGATGTACACGCAAAAACAGAAAATGGCGATGTATGGTATGGTCTACCCAAAGTTTCTTGCTCTACAAACAAGTTTTCATTCATCCCATTTGTCAATGAATGACGGAAACACGTGAGGTTTCCCGAAGCAATCGCAAAGCGAGAGAGGGTCGCAGCCAACGGGGATCTCGAGTCGGTTTTCAGCAAAAATACCATATTTGGTATTAACAAGTTAGGACGGCTGACTGGTAATACCGCAAAGAATCGTCAATATAAAACGGGCAAAGTTAATTCACCGTTGTACGCTCTCCTTCTTTAAAATACGCTCTTGATCCTGTATATGGATCCATCATGCGCGTTTGTCTAATTTCCACTCAGAAGAAACCCTACAGGTGATAAACGGATAATGATATATTTTCTAATATACAGGTAACTATATATGCATGTGTGCATTGTGACAGGCATCTGAGTTATTGCAAATAACTCGGAAGTGATCCCCAGGTGACATAATTCTTTGTCTAACACAGGGATGGGCAGAAACTTGCCTGCCACTGCCAGTGTACTGCTACCAAATGCAGCAGTGACCCCAACAACCAGATGAAAACGTATTGTTGGTTTGTTGAAGTTGCTACAGTCGTTATGAAGATCCCAGCGACCAGTGCAACTACAAAATGGAAACAAGGCTTAAATAAGATAATCTCGAATTTCATTCACACACTAATTGCATTTGCACTGTGTTGGGTAACTTTCTCTGGTGTACATTAAAATCACTAAGAACCAATGGTTCCACTTGTGTTGAATACTGTAGGTAGAGCTGGTAGAGGTGCGTGTGCCTGTCTAAGTGTGCAGCACAGACGGCAAAGCAGGCAGAGAGACGGTCCCCGAGACAGTATAGGTTCTACAATGATGAAGAAAGCTGGTAAGGGACGTGGAGACCCCAATGCAGACGCAGCTGCACGATTAGCTGATTATAAAGGCGAAAGCCATGTACCTTTAACTGGTAAGTATAGTCAGGCCTACCAAAGTACGCAAAGCTAAATCTGGTGAGACAGTGTAGGGTAATGTCTTGCTCTCACACGCATCTACTATCTTCTGTCTGAATTCAAATCGAGAAACAACGATACTGGAAAACATGTCTACAAATCTAGTATAAATGTATTATTTTAGGTTATTTTCATGGGTGAGTACACTGAGTAGGCCAAAACCTATGTGGTCCCCCAATTTGTGTACACAACTTTTGTAATTGGCATTTAATCAGTGACTGTAAACGTAATATATATAGAAAAAATTGCACTACTAGTGATCATTCCTGAGTGACTTGTCTTGCTTCTATGCTTGGAGTTGCTTTCACCCAATACTCTTTATTTCCTGCCATTTCCCAGAACTATTTGTGCTCATATAGACCTCCTTCTTTGCTTGTATGGGCAATACTTACAGGTATTTTTACTGTGCTTTCGACGTGTCTTGTCTGTTTGATGCAGTTGCCATTGCCATTATGCTTCTGCCAGCAACTGTGTTTGCAAATGTCAAGTTGTCATTTTAATTGCCCTGAATCTCCTCTATGACTCTATACTGACTACCAAGAATATTTGGTTGACCTGGTAACAAGAATTCTGTCCAAGTTAGATTCTAATCTCTCTATCTATTCCTATATATGGCATAGAATAATTGCATATTTGTGCTTACAACTAGCTTAATATCGTCGCGATAGGCAAGTTTTTGTAAGTGGCAATATTTAATGTGCCAACTGAATGTGAAAGACGTCAGTTCCAAAATTTACAGAGAAAGCCTTGTGAATTCCTCAGAGAAGAAATATATCAGTGTAATAGCTTTAACGAGATTGGACTAGAGAATGCAACGTTTCACCTAGGACTAGGCGTCCTACTTTTAATGTCCATACTCGGGATACATGCACATGCACACACACATATGCACACTGTGACACATGTACACTCACGCACGCACGCACAAACACGCACACACGCGCATCTATATGGCTGTTTTCTCTGTGATGTGTATGACATTCCAACATCGTTGCTTGTTGAACTTCGGGTGGTTCTGTTCGCGGAATAACTGTGTACGTGCTTTGTTGTTAAGTGCACTCCTGTTGCTGCCTGTGTACTTTGGTAGGGCTGGTAGTACTCATGCAGTTGTACGTAGGACTGTAGTGCTTCAGATCTATTCCACCAATGCGGATTCTCATTCAGTGATTGTCAGTCTGCTCTATTGGCCAAACTATATTCGCAAGGGTGAGTAACGATTGCCCACAAATCTGGTCAGTGCATGGAAATTAATCAAGCGTTTGGTGCTTGTTTGAAAAATTTTGTGAATTACTTTTCATTGGCTTTGACTTTCATTTACTTTTTATTTTTTATGTTTTTGCTAAATTTCCTGCCTTTCAAAAATTACACTCATACATGTGAAACTTAGCTGATTCCCCCTCCTACCATGATACTGATGAAAGATAAATAAGAGATTGGCCTTCAGAAGAAATTTATGAATGATAAACCAACTTGGTGGATATGTTTTATTTACGTTTTGTCTCTTACCAACGTTACACGTTCTATTCCGTAGTATGCAAAATATTTATCCATCTCATGAGTTTAGGGCATTAATATTCGTAGTTAGTTGGAAAGGATGCAATATTCTGATGCGTGCATGCACACTCAACTTCTCTGGATGCTAAAGGTAGGGAAGATTTTCACGTGTGAATGTGTGTGTGTGTGCGTGAGAGTATGCTTGCGGGCATTTGTATTTATGTATTACAAATTATGTGTTTTCAAAGTCAATAACGGGAAATAGGTTTAAGTGTTGGCAAGATTGTGTGGTCAAGTGGGATTCCGTATATCAGTATCCAGCTCTCTAACTCGGCCGCATAAGAATTCATGTTTACACTTACAGTGAATCGTGTGTGGATATTTACAGTATCGCCTACAACTGAATAATGCTGCGCACTCTAATGAGTCTTTTTAAAAGAAAATTATCATGCAAAAATATAGTCATCTAGCAGAAATATGAGGTGTATTTGAAATTATTGCTTCTCTATACATTTAGGTCTCATATGGTGCTACATATATAAGTAGGCCTATGTATGTGTGCATGTTTTATATAATACATAAATATAAAATTTGCCATTTGATCAAGTCGTGATGACAGTTATAAAGATGTATACTGTTGTTTCTGCAGTGTAAAAGGTGAGGTACATTTTGCTTCATTTTTGGTTCATTTTGCACCTAACCAATGTTTTCTATTATTTATTTCATGAGCAGCGTTCCACAGTTCGATGTTGTTGCTGTATGCATATATTTTATAAAATTCTGTGTCAAACTATATTTTCTGTGTTGATGTAATGTAAGCCAGTAGTGCTCTGTGTGTTAGGCATAGCATATTATTTGACTGTTTATCTTATGGGTTGTGTTTCAGTGAAGTATATATCACTGTGGTGGTTTTGCCTGTTCTCTATGATGTTTGTGTGTGTCCCAGTGGGATTTATTTTGTTTGCAGTCATGTCATGCATACAAGTTCACTTAAAATCAAATATATGCAATGTAAAAATTAAAGCCCCTCAATGCACGGTTGATGCATTTTCTAATGCCTATGTTTCATAATTTACTGACTTACATCATATGATAATATTCTTTTAAGCATTGTGCTTCTTTTGTGACTGTACCTTGCACCATAGCACTTAATAAACCTTGTCATTTTCCTATGATAAAACCTCACTAGTATGCATTTAAGAAGCACCCAAATTGAATTTCATCGCAGCAAAAGCATTATAGTACAATAATTGGCCTGTATATGCTTAGAAGGGCAACCTATCCAAGCAATTTCCTATTTCTAGGTTACACGCACAAAACTGTATATAACAAACTTAAATTGGCATAGAGGGGCTTTAAAGTGTACACGTCATTTAACTGTTATTTGGTGTGGCATTCTGTGTAATTTTAGTATATATTGAAGCACAGTCTTTCTATATTAAGTTGGTCATTTTGGAAGAATGTTTTTTAATCTTAATTTCACGACTTCACAGTGTTTTTCTATTGGACTTATCTGTTTTACTTTTGATATGCAGTGTTCAATTATCCTACAAAGTGCAATTATTTATTCTGTCCAGAAACGTTTAGGATAATGTTTGTAAGAATTTGTTTACATTTTCTTGATAAGACAATAGTAAATTCCATATATGCTGTTTGTTTATACTATATCACCTGAACTAATTACCTATTTAAACCTCCTCTCCAGCATATTCAGAATAATTTCTCACCTGCATAGCTGCATTATCTAAAACCTGAGAAATTTCAAGATCATTCCTAATCAAGTGTGCATTCCTAGATCAATCAAACAAATCCTAATCAAGATCAATTCCTAGTCATGCGCATGTGTCAGTGTGTCTTATTGTTTATGCTATTTTAACTCATGCAGGCACAAGCCCAACTACACCAAGTTCACCAGAAGAAGGCACAAGTTCAGGGACCAGCACGACAGTAAGTCCCAGCGCAAGTCACGGTCTGGAGATTGTCTCAGATCCCGACATGCCTGGTACTTCGGAGAGACACAAGGTACACATACTTGTGGCTCGCACTACTTGTGACTAATATTATCACATGATTCTGTGTGTTACTGGATCACAATGTGTTACCTCTGCGTGGTTTGTCAGCATTCTGTAATTACATCGCTAGTAGCAAGTATAGTCTCAGGGTTTCTTATACATACATAGGAGGCAGAGTGGCCCACCGCCGTTGTCAAATTTAACATCGCCGTTGTGAAAATGTTCCTGTATTTACTGATAAGTATATCCTATATCTATATCAATACAGCCTGTATTTGAATCCATCATGCGTGTTTTTTTCCCAAACTGGCCATTACCTCATTTTTTGTCTAATTTTCCCTCAGAAGAAACCCTGAGTCTCACTGCGCACTTGCCCGTCTATCAGTAAAGGGAATTCATGTTGGTTCTTTTTTTTGGAGTGGAGCACACACAGTAGCAGATCCCTGGGACCCTGACCAGCACCGTGTGCTTGATTGTGTTTGAATCGAGTCACAATGTCAGGGTCACATTCGCCAGAACAAGCATGGTAGGGATCGGCTCATGAGTCGGTTCTGATGGTCTCATTATCGTTGTACAGGAGAAGAAGCTGAGCACAAGTTCAGGCATCTCCGACCCAACGCGGCCAAAGCAGGTCATGGTTGCTCAGCCGGGTTCAAACAAGCCGAAGCCAACAAATCCGTCGGTGAAGAAGAAAGCTATGGTCACTGCAGAAGTGGTACGTAGCCTTGTCATCGTCGGCAGGGAGAACACTCGGGGAGGTTGTAAAGAGCATTGAAATAATGGCAATGTGGGTTTTTTCTGTCCGCAACCTGACGAATGAAATTCGTTGTGGTAGTGAGAACGTTCGTGCATGGGTTAATGCACGGTTTCCAAAACAAAAAGTTTAAAAAACAACAACAATGTTGTCGGAAAAGTAGTTGGGTCGACATTTTTAAAAACATAAATATTGCCGATAACCCATTCATGCTTATGGAATGGGAGACGGTGGTGTCCACATGCCGTGGCAAAATTTTACATACTAGTCAAAGTTAACAGAAAATCAATGAGTTTAGTGTGGTTTAATCTTAGGAATAGGTGTAGAAGTGAAGTGTGTAATTGTGAGTTATGCTTGTATATGTGTTATTCATGATTGCTTTTTCTACAGGATATTAATAAAGAGTTTAATCGGTGCAAAGAAGAAGGGAAAACAAGGATAGACCTTAGCAAATCAAGTGTAAGCTGATGTAATAATTTTGTTGTGTATTTAATTGGTATAATTCAAGGTATTTGCATGCTCATTTTTCCTGTACTCGGTCTCACGATATAAAATCTAGACTAGCATGAAATATATCCCTTATTGCATCTGGCGTGTGCATTCCAAATACCTAAAATAATAAGCAACTAGTGTGTTCAAAGTTTTTGGTAGGAAGCATAACTGGTAATTATAGTTCTAGTGAGGTTCTTACCAGCCCAGTTTGTGGATAAAATCTGGTTTGGAAATAACATTGATCTGAATCGTATTGATGTTCCTCCAATTTGCCTCGGTTCCATAAAGGTTTTGATTGCACCTAAGGTAATACCTACCTTGACCTAATAAATGTTAGTTCTATCCCTGTGAGCCATATAACATTGATCGTTCGTGTTTGTCGAACGAATATTGACCGTTTGTTTCTTCTATGTGCGTGGCAGATAACAGCATTGCCAGCGTCTGTGCGGGAGCTGAAGCATCTAGTTGAATTCTACATCTATGGCAACAAGTTGACGACGCTGCCCGTAGAGATTGGCATGCTGACGAGCTTGCAGACGCTAGCACTGAGCGAGAACTCGCTCACCAGCCTGCCCGACACGCTCATCAACTTGCGACAGCTGCGAGTGCTTGACCTCAGACACAACAAGTTGAACGAGGTCTGTTCACGCATAGGACTGTGCTATTCAAAAATGTTTTCACGAGTACATTCACCAAGAGATCTGCATCTACCACAAATTAGCAGAGAATGCACCCAATATACGAAGTTTTGATTTCTCCCAGAATATACTGAGTAAAAACCAAACTTTTAATATGCATAAACCTTATATATGATTAAATGTTCTTAGCTTGCCTGTTCATCTAGACATAAAAAGAATTCTTGCTTAGAATAGAGGTGCAAATGCACAAATTGCAATTTAGCAGTATGCAGTGTTGATGCCTGCTTCATATGTTATTGTCGGGAGTTGAAAATTGAGTCTTCATTAGTTGTGCAATGAATGAGCTGGAAGTCTATATCTACATCTCTCTCTCTCTCTCTCTCTCTATATATATATATATATATATATCTATATTTTATATAATATATACACACACACATATATATATATAATATATACATATGGAAAATATAGGAAGTCTCATTGCACTGCACATGTACATGAATTTGACGTAGAGGGCTTAGCAATCCAGCAATGATTTCTCAAAGATGTGGCATCCGTGTTCAATGATACTATCGATTTTGACGTTAGCATCTCCTTGTCACCAAGAAGTTGGTAAAGCTGCTGTGAAATCAAATCAAAGGCATGTAGCAGGCAAACTATGCACAATGACATGATTGTGATTTACGCCAGTGTTCAAACCCTGTATATGTTCTATGATCACACATAGTGATTAGAGAGTTATTCCCTCCTGATTAAAGTGTTTGCAACTTCACTCTTTGCAGATCCCTGATGTGGTGTATAAGCTAACGTCATTGACCACACTGTTCCTGAGGTTTAACAGGATAAAGGTAGTAGGAGAAGAAATAGGCCACTTGAAGGTGAGAGAAAATGGAAACGTCTCTTTCAGTGTAATATGTAATGACTACTAGCTGCAGGTGTACATTGCCAAAGTTACAGATTGTTTATGCAAATAGGATAATTTAATAAATAGCATGTTGATAATCAAGCTGTTGCATGATCTGAGTAATTTGCTGGGTAACCTCGAAATCTTATATTTGTTAATGTGTCACCATATTACATTCTTGTAATGTATCATATATTCTCTCCGTGATATTAATATTTCTGACTTGTTGTTTCAGCAATTAAGTATGCTGAGCCTAAGAGAGAACAAAATCAAAGAGTTACCACAGGCGATTGGAAAACTAGTGAATCTCATCAACTTTGATGTGGCTCACAATCATCTAGAACATTTACCTGAAGGTTTTTGTATTTAGGTGTTATCACTGAGATAATTTATTGCTCCCCTTGTTGCTAAGTATAAACCCAGCGGTTGGAGTTATGTAGTGCATGGTTATAATTACCAGTTGTCAGATCAACCGATTTTTGCTTGAAATAACCACAAAATATTGTAAGGTTAAGTACTAATATCCTAATACCCTACTAAAAACCCCGTACTGTGTATAAACATATATTACTCTATAATAATATTACTTGTTTGTTTTACTTTGTAGAAATTGGCAAATGCATACACATTTCATCGTTGGATTTACAACACAATGAATTGAAGGATGTTCCAGAGTCATTAGGAAATCTTAGGTCACTTTCAAGGCTTGGGCTTAGGTAAGTCTTTGTGTATATTAATGCTTGTGCCCTCAAAATTCCATTCACACAGGCACTGCAAAATCATTGCCTCACAATTTTAATAGATATTATTGTGAATTATGTGCTGCAGTAAATACATTTAAAATATGATGTGAAGTTTGCTACATTTAGATTTCTGTATTGATTTTTGATGAAAGTATGAAACTAAATTGAAGTAATATCATATTTTGATCTGTTTGACAGATAACCTGCATGGCATTTTGTATTCATAAAAATGTCACAACATTCTGTTGTAACATGGTCCCATATTATATATATATATATATATATATATATATATATATATATATATAAATTGCCAAAGCTTCATGGTATGGATTTTAAATAGGTAACAATGTATATTAATAATATCACAAAGACAAAATGTAAATGTTTGAATACACATTGTTTTATCTTCAGGTACAACAGGCTAGCTATAGTTCCAAAGTCATTAAGAAACTGTGTTAATTTGGAAGAATTCAACGTGGAAGGGAATAATATTTCCCAACTACCGGTAATTATTTTATAATACATTTTACCTTTGATTCAATGGACTGATAGCAGGCAGAGCATGGCGATTGACAAAATAAAATTTAAATATATATTTAATGGTTGATGTGTAAAATTGTAGAATAAATAAAGTAAATAAAGTGGGAGAGGACAAAAGATACATGAAAAATTTCCAATGAAAAATATATTAAATAAACAGGGATGCATATTAAACTCATGATGCAGTTAATGTTTTAAATTATCCATAATAAAATTGTGAATTTAATTTTATTCATGTTCTTGATCAGTGATGCTCCCAAGTTCGAGGTCTTTGAAGCTGTGTATCTGTGTAAACTCGATTATATGATCTGTCCAAACAAATTGTCCCAAACGTGGTGGTGGTGGTGATGTAATGGTTGGAAACTACTGCCACCTAGTGGATAAAATGGTATAACTAATATTATAACGTGTAAGTAGTTTTTGAATGTGTAGAGTTTGTTGGGGATTGCAGTGTGAGGTATTATATGTACTATCTTTTATTATAATTTATGCAGGAGGGTTTGCTATCTAGCTTGTCGAAGCTGACTGGTCTCACGTTATCTAGGAATGCATTTACGTCCTACCCTGCTGGTGGCCCTCCTCAGTTCGCTTCGGTTTATGTAAGTATCTAACACTGTCAAATTGGTTGGTCACTTGGCATTGGGTTCTTATCCATTGTGGCAAGGTAGTAGTATTTTAAGTTGTATAGTTTTTAATTTTTTTTTAAATTTGGAGTTTAATCATTCCAGAACAACTAAATCGTAAGGTGTAACAGGTTTCATTATCGTGAAAAGAAATTTTTTGCGCTCTTGAAGTTTATAAAATGTGTTACATGAATGCTATCAACTGTCTAGTCCTTCAATTTTATATGTTCACATGTTAATGTATTTTAGACAATAAACATGGAGCACAACCAGATCAACAAGATACCATTTGGCATATTTTCCCGAGCCAGAAATCTGACAAAACTCAACATGAAAGATAACCAGTTGACATCCTTGCCACTCGGTAAGTTGACACACGATCCCTCCCCATCCCTAGGATAATTCCTGTTATTTCTGTTGTTTGGATTTTCAAGTTTAACGGTAAACATTTAGACAAATAATTATATAAAAAGTATACTATCTTTTTTATAGCCCATCTGACACAGTCAGACGCAACTTGTAGAATGGCAAGCATGTCCGTTTGCCCCATCAACAATGTGGGCGCAATTCTAAATGACATGTGGTGTTAATATTCGGTGCATGGGGAAAACGCAGAATTGTTGTGTTTGTTTGCATGAGTGTGAAGGGCTTGACCTATGTTCTTGATATTTGCTATACAGAATCATGGGGGGAAAGCCATCACTTGGCAAAATTTGAAGTCAGATGTCAAAGGGCAGTGAGAAAACTTGTAGATTTCTGATATTTTTGGAAGATATGGTCTTAGGAATGAGTGGAAAAGAAATTTATATCAGAGTTAAATAATTATTTTCATGGATGTTGAAAGGATTATGAAATGTACTTTACTTTAATGTGCAAGGCATATCTGTCTGGTGACCTTTTTACCTTCAAACAGGAGTGTTAAGCATTGATTTGTTTGCATAATCCAGTGTAGATGTGAGATACCACAATTTCACTGTTAAATTTCAAAGCAAAACCTAGATTAACAAGATTTTAAGCTCCTTAGATCATATTATTTATATGAGATGCATTCCTGTAGATATCATAGCATCCAGTGTATATTCTATTTTGCAATTCAGATTGCAAGATTGCAGATTGTTGCTACCTGCAGTAATTTATCACAACATGACACGTACGGGCTGGCAACTGCCATTAATACTCAAATCCGTGGCCACTTGTTGAATTGTGATGAATACCGAGTTTCCTACTTTGTTCCGCATCTAATTTGACCAGATTGGTATAAAATTGCGAAACCTAAACTTGTTGCAAAGTCACGATGACCGACGAATGCTGGCTAGCTTCATCTAGCTTACAATTGCAGCAGTTTCTTTTGACATAATTGACTGTACTGAAAGATACAAACATGGCTTCATTCAATGCATATACCATCCATCGCTTCCTACTCTCAACTGCCTGCTCCAACATCCCCTCTTCTTCCTCCATTAACAGACCTCAGATAAGCAATGTCTCTCTATGGCTATTGTTCTATTAAGATATTTCTTATATTCTTATATTCTTCCGCATAGCTGTATAGGTGCATGGTATTATCGAGATATTACAAACATAGGATGTGCTGATGAACTGAATATAATGTGTGACATTGATTCCGGTAATGACGTGTTCATTGTTCTCTATTGACAGATACTGGCACGTGGACCAATATGGTAGAACTAAACCTGGGCACGAATCAGCTGAGCAAGATTCCAGATGACATCTCCAATTTGCAAAATCTGGAGGTGCTTGTGCTCTCCAATAACCTTCTCAGGGTACGTACCCATGTCGCATGACTGTTAGTCATACTCAAACAATGTCACTCTGTATGTAGTGTGTAACATGGCCATGGGGCATCTTCAGGGTTTTTAACTTGGATTTCATCCCTCAACTTATATCATGAGCTGGTCTTTGAGCCAAACTGGTAAAAAAGATAATGCCCATCTGTGCCAATTATTCACAACACAATGATAATGAATATGTCGGGGGAAGATTGCTTCAGCCAGTTTGAATTCCCATTGGTATGTTCTTATGATGCTTATAGCAGAGTGGGTTTTGGCTTTTCATTTATTTTTAGATGAATCTATAATGTTACCAGATTTCTGCGTGATGTGAATTCGCATTTAGCAACTTTGTGAAGCCATAGAATAAGAAGGTAACTTAACTTTCTTTCCTTGCAGAGGCTTCCGTCTAGTATTGGCAACTTAAAGAAACTGAGAGTGTTAGATTTGGAAGAAAACAGGTTAGAAAGCCTGCCAAATGAGATCGGGTTTTTGCGAGAACTGACAAAGTTGGTCGTGCAGAGTAACCAGTTGAGCAGCCTCCCTCGAGCAATAGGGTAAGCAATCATCTTTGAGATTTCCAGGAGAGTAACCTTTGAGGTTTATCAGGATTTTTTTAAATTTGGACATTCTGGTACATCTTTCCATAAATTGGGTAAATTGTAGTAGGCCCAGGTTTGATAGCCTGTATGAGGGAATTCCGATGAAGACACAAAGAATCTGATACAGGATACGAGTTTTCAACTTTTAATAGCATTGTGCCAGTGTGTAAATGCCATATATTGGGGTCTGACTAGGTGATATTTATTTTAGTACAGTGAACAGTAATATCATCTTGATGGCCTCTGTAGCCTCCATCAGAATTGTATGTGATGATGCTCACTTCCAACCAATCATCTATCTTCTGCATCCTTGTTAAAAGTACTAATTTTTATTATTTTTTTGCAGCCATTTGAGTAACCTGACGTACCTAGGAGCAGGGGAGAACAATTTAGCATTTTTACCTGAAGAAATCGGTAATTTCATTTTACAGCTGTTCATGTTTATTATTTATAGCGTGTACGTTCATAATTACAGAAGTATTATATAATTTCTGCACGGTTGTAATGGCAAAATTCATTTTCGAGTTCCAAAAAAATGTTGCACGAGCATCCAGGTAGTAAACTAGTAATTGTTTTGTTATATGTAAAATTAGAAACAATTACATAATATTAGGAGAGTGTGGCTGTGATACACCAAAAGAGAACAGTGAGAATTAGCATAGAGCCTTAGTGTACCTATGATTCAATATGCATAAAACAATAAGCACGAACTTAAAAGACAACTTTAACATTTAATCAACTCTGTCCCTCCTCCTTTTTCTCATAAATAATCACTGTACAATGTTTGCGAGAAATTCTGTTATTCACATATAACATTGCCCCACCAAATAATCAATAATTGCCGGTTGCACCTACTTGCAGAAAACTATGCAGACTTTCTCTTTACGTTTCGCCAAAGTAATATACTGTCCTCGTCCACTGGTTTAAAAAAAAATTTGCCGCACATTGTGGCAGCCATTGGTGGTGAGAAATGATGTTTTTGTTACGCGACACTGCTTTCAAGTGTGCAACATTGATTTTCATTGTGTGTTTTTATCACCATTGCTTTTGAGATGCTTGCATAAATCACAGAGAAGGCAGTCAAGCAACATTGCTCAGGTTGTGATATTTCTACTTCACTATTTTTAAGTGATGAATTTATTATACTTTTAGGAACACTTGAAAACCTGGAGTCCTTGTACATCAACGATAATCCCAACCTGCATAACTTGCCGTTTGAGTTGGCCCTGTGTTCAAAGCTGCAGATCATGAGCATTGAGAATTGCCCACTTACACAGATTCCTGCAGAGATTGTAGCTGGTGGGCCATCTCTCGTTATACAGGTATGCTGCTGTGGTTTTCCTGCTCCTCCTTGTCATATACGGTAAAGTGTGTAGAAAATTAACACAACTGTTTGTATTTCATTAGGCATTAATTCTTCTCATACTTGAGCAGTATAACTTTACATGTTTAGTTCTCAGGTTTGGCAGTGTGGAGGATATGCTTCAGCCCATTCATGCATGTCCTTTTTTTAACTGAGATTAGTGCAATTGATGACTTTTCACATTATCACTTCAGGTCTAGCAGCATATCTATATGGTCTTATAAGCTTTTTCCTATATTTCTTTTTCCTCAGTATCTGAAGATGCAAGGCCCCTACAGGTCAATGTGAGCACCTCTAAACTACGCAACAGTGTGGAGTGGGCATTATCCACAAGGTCGCAGACTCTACTGCTCTTTTACCGTGGAGGTCATTGAGTTCACTAGCCACATGGTAGCTCTGTGTGTGCGTGTGTGTGCGTGCATGCATGCGTGCGTGGGTCCGTGTGTGCGTGCGTGCGTGCGTGCGTGTGTGTGCGTGTGCGTGTGTGGGTGTGGGTGCATATGTGTGTGTGTGTGTGTGTGTGTGCGTGCGTGCGTGTGCGTGTGCGTGTGCGTGTGCGTGTGTGTGTACGCGTCGCATGCACGAGAGCGGCAGTTATGAAGTCCATTGATTGAAGCTTTTGGAAATAATATTTAAAAAGAGCTTTTGACAGTTTGTTGCAATGTGATTGCATTTGGTGTGAGAATATTAGATTTTCTTTGCATTCACGCAGCGAACGTGTGATTGCATGGAGCCTTGCCATTTGAAGTTAGTGTGCTTTTTGCACACCCGTTTAAATACCTTGTTGGGGAATTGTGTTGTCGCTTACTGTTGCGTGCATTATCTCTCGGTGATGTGTTGCTCCGTTAGTTCAATCTGATCTCAGTTGAGAAATTTACTGAATACACTGAACACGAACCACTCCGTGAGGTGCGTGCTGTTCATAAGAACATACTTGATGAATTATGACAAACTGTGAAGCAACTGTGGAGAGCTGAACTGCAATGCGATTTTGTAATCCTACTTGTTTTTCGATTGGGAATCGGTAATGCACAGCATGCGTGTTTGTACTGATGAATGAACCAGTCGGCAAACATTTGTTCTGTTGTTACTATTTCGCCTACTTTGCGGGTAACTATGTGGTACTGGTTACGCTGTTGAAGCTAGGTTTGTTGTGTGTACAATGTCTTTTTAAGGTGATTAAGTAGTGACTGGCAGCTGTGAACGAGGGTGACGGCGTTCACACATTGGTTTATAGCACTTGGAGATATGGATAATTAGGGCACGCTAGGGTATACTAAGTGTGCATTTTGGGAGTATTTTGTTGAAGTGGGGCATGAAGGGATTCATATAGAGTCTGCAGCCAAAGAAGAATAGCATAGAAAATGGTGGTCGTGCTGACTGGGCGACGTTGTGTGTCAATCAGTGGATGAGAAATTGGATGGAGCAGCTAAACCTGGGTTAACCTCGTTGGTGGTGGGGTTGGGGATGTTGGCACACCGACATACCCCACCGCAGGATATGCCTACAGCTGTAGAACTCCTGTATGTCACGATTTCTGGCTGGTATGGGTTAGCTTGAGCATGTGCAATTATAATCATTGGCTTTTAAAATAGAACTCCTTAGTACAACTTCCCATAATTGTGCAATCTACTTCTCCGGGAAGCACTAACAAGGATCGTGTAGCTTTGTAGAGTGTTATTGTTTTTAAACAATTAGTTTGGGAAATGTATTTTTGCTCAAATTGAAGATTTGATAGTTTAACTGCGCCATTCTGCCAAACTGGAAGCGTTCCGCACATGCATGATAATTAGCACGTGTTCTTTTATTTTGGATGGCGAAGAAATGTGTTGCACACGAAGTATGTTTTGTGTGGCTAATTTTTGAGAGAACAGTTTAGAGGCAGTTTTAGCTTTGGTCTGCATTATTACGTCAATACATGTGTACTGTTATACCCCGTAAATACTGCAAAAAATTGTAACCCACATAAAACTAGTCCGGCCCACGTGCGCGCAAACTCGGAGCATACGAATACATGCTAGTCAACATGGCCAGAACTGGACTAGAACCATATACGCATATGATGTGTTTCTATATGTGCTGCCTTTAGTTTTTAGCTTCTCTCTACATGCCATTTAATTCTGGTTGTAATCTAACTCGTCCGTGGTCTTGGCAATGTAAGTATAAACGTGCACATTCCAGTACAGTATATGCCTTTTAATATCACCCGAAAAGAATCCACACTGCATTTAAACTCTTGATCTCGTCGTTCTCCCAGTTATTTTCTTAATTTTCCATTATATTAGTCAAGTGATTTACGCTATTCAAAAACGTTATTAAGTTTGAAGAATAAAGACACAAACAGACAATTGCAAACGCTTTTTACTTTTAGAAATGGCAGCCAAGCATCGCATGTGCAAGCATATTTCAAATTATGGTCCGCGCTTGGGCCCCATCACGTGCACATTACAAATTCGTGTGGGATGTCCCATAACAGGCCAATTTAGCGCGGTTAGAAGCGCTCCTGGCGCGTAAACACTGCGAAAATTTTGTCCGGTAAAATCTCTGACTAGTTTAATGTAGGATCAAATTTGCAGTCTTTACATGGTATTATTCGACTGCCAGAATGTTTTTCTTATCCATTTCGCGCTTGTACATTATCGTAAAAAGCATTTTAAATGTTTTTATCTTGGTCTTATGGACGAGTTTTCCGTGTTTTAATGCATTTGTGCTTTTTTAATGATGGCACTGTAAGGTGCTGTGATGGTGGAAAGAATGTCTAGCTTGCACAGACAGTTTACTGTGAATGTGTCACCGTGTCGATCTATTGACCAAGTGAAAAGCCCCGCAACGGGTTGAGGGCATTGTCACGTTCTACTGCACCATTCAGCTCTCCACAGATGGATTATTTTCACACGTGGTATATGGTGACTCGTTCATTGCTTTGTTTTTATTGAGGACTGGATTTTTAGCAGCAGTGTTTTGAAGTTCATTGTCAAACACTTTGGGATGTGTATTTTAGAATTTGCAGAGTGGAGAATTATCCCATCGTTACGCCCTTGCCATACTCTAGAATGAGATGTTCCTCGAGTGAATGAGTGGCAGCGCGAAGAATGGCCCATGGATGATAATTTCTGTACTGTGTGTTTTAAAAGATTATCATCGTAGAGTTAATAAAGCAGAGATTGAAAAAGAATTGAAAAAGCTGAGGATTTCAGTGCAAGCGTGAATTCTTTGGTTGACACGCCGACGGTAAGGAGGATCAGTGCTGCCCGCGAAACCGATCATTTGATACGCACTGGCACATGAATTCTCTTATGTAATTCAAGGCAGCGCGTTCGGGCCAGGGGCGGGTTCCGTTTAGACTAAAACTGGGGGTTTTCCCCGTAGAGAATCGGTGGCCTGTACGCGTTATTGACATTTCCACTGTTGTTGTAAAAAAAGTATCGTGCATGAAAGTGCGGAGACATTCGAAATGATACGTTATAATTATTTCTCCCGTTGTTTGGGGATTTTATTGACATAGCTATGTCAGTCATTGATCATGCTTTTAGATTTTTGGAAACGTGTGTGTTATGTAAAGTGACTGTGTGTTTGTGCATTAATAACGGTTATTTAAAATGCCCTGCATCAGGCTTGAAAATTATGTCTGTATTATTGTACAGTAAAAATAGTAGTATTAATATACAGCTGTTACAGAGTAAATTGAAATGCATAAAATTGTGGAAAATATAAGTCTTGACAGCCAGGTAATAATCAAGTAGAATGATGACGTTTTTTTCTTATTGTGTTATGTATACTTTTTATTTATTATAAATAATTATTTTGCAATACGGCAACAGGCTGTTGCTATAGCCCATTGTTACATTCATGGAGTAAAGCCATATGTTCTAGATTTAGTAGAGATATGTTCTGCAAAATCTACAATGCTTAGTTGACACAATACTTAGATGTGATACTCAAATGTCCTCTATATACTGTAAACCTATAATTAAAAAACAAAAACAATATACTACTTTTGGCATGCACACACATACATTTGACAGAACAATCTGTCCCACAGTATAAGGAGATTTTGAATACGGGTCAGTGAATACATTCTATGAGACATAAAATTAGAATACAGAAGAATTTTGATGAAATCACTCGCGTGTGTGCAAACAACTCGTCGCCTTTTCTTCAGCACTAGTAATACCGCTGCATGCCAACTGCACTGGATAGGCCTTCCTGCTTAAAACTGGTTACCTGTTTATAGCATTACGCACTTTCAAAATGACCAATAATATCAGGAGTAAATAATAACAGGATAATAATAGATATCAAATGCAAAACGTGTTTCCTTACCTTTTTAGAAGGAAGGATGTTTCCGGCCTGCACGTACTTTTTTTTCTCTCTCTCTCGCTCTCTCTCTCTCTCTCTCTCTCTCTCTCTCTCTCTCTCTCTCTCTCTCTCTCTCTTTCTCTCTCTCTCGCTCTCTCTCTCTCGCTCTCTGTCTCTCGCTCTCTCCCTCTCTCTCGCGCGCTCTCTCTCTCACTCTCTACTGTGAGTGATTAAGTCATGGATGTAGGTGGATGAACGGTTATTTGCAGGACGCGAGATTTCACCATTTTAATTATCTGGGAACTGAAACATACCAGGTATAAATTTTCCGTGATTCGGGAGTAGAAGTTAACCGAGACGCGGGAAAGCAGAGATTTCAAACTGGGAAATAGTTTTTTACCTGCGATACCGGGAATATACCTCGTGCAGGTTAGCTGAGTTATCCGTACCGGCGACGTCTCAAGTTTATCGTCTTGAGACAACTGAGTGTCGCGTACGGACAACAGTCATATGAGATAAACTCCCTGCTAACGTATGCTGCCATCTGCCATGGCAGGGCCGTAGCGGTGGGCAGAGGGCAGTTGCCCCGCAGTTATTTCCAACGCCGATGTCTAACTAACTACCCACGGTAAAACCATCTACACACACTCGCATGCACAAATGCCCGAAACACACACATGCACACACAGGTGCGCGCACACGCATGCACACACATAGGGGCCTACGCATGCGCACACACACGGCATGGCACCACAACGCACCGCTACACACGCATACATATAACGCGCTACGCGCAGCTCGGCGCAGCGCACACACACACACACACACACACACACACACACACACACACACAACACACACACACACACACACACACACACACACACACACACACGCGCGCGCGCACATATACGCAAACACGCATGCACAAACGCATATACACACACGCATGCACACAAGTGTTATTATAATATCAAGAGTACATAATAGGAGATCATCTCCTATTATGTACTCTTGATAATATACAGCTCTGTGTTTAGCGTCCAGAATACACTCGTTATAGCAACACAAGTGTCGATCAACGGCAAAGAAAAAATACGCGGAATCCGGATCATTACGGAGGATTATTAGATACGTTCTCATTATAATGGGGAGAGAGTGCGTTACACAATTTTTTTTTTAAAACCTATTCACGAGTATCCTCTAACCTTTTTAAATGCACCGGCGATTTCAACAAAATGATGTTTCGGTTAGGAAATAGTAGACATGCGCCCATCCATGCACGTCTAATCATAATCTAAGACCTGTAATCTATTGCACGTTGAATGAATGGAAGATTTGCCGTCTTGTGATGAATGAAGTGAATCATTGGAATTAACATTCATTAAGATCTAACTACTCTCGAGCGTGTGCTCACTGCTATGGTAAACTTTCAAGAAATTAGAATTATATCGGAATATAAGCGTCATAGATGTAGCTCCTTGCTTCTTATGTGCGACACTAGTATAGCGCCAATCAACGGCAAATAAAAACGGAAGCGGGATCTTGAAAGAATTGGGCTCCCTCTAATATAGGGAGTCAATGGGTTTCAGATTTCTAATAGAAACCTATTCCTGAGCATCTCCTCTTTTTATAAATACATGACCCTCCATGATGTGATTTCAGTAAATAGGAAATAGTAGGGATGTCTATACACAGACGTCTGTTACAATATATAGTCTATCGCCCCTTTTAGGGAGATTAGTTTACCGTCTTATAATGAAGTGAGAGATTGACATCAACATTTTTTATACCTAACTACTCCCGAGTATGTACTCACTACAGGTGTATAATTTCAACAAATATTATGAATGAATGTATTTCGTTTAGCATCTATCATATACTACTTATAATGTGCTACACCAGCGCCGACCAACGGCATGCAGCGCGACAATACACGGAACCGGGATGGTGAAAAGATTGGGATTCCTCCTATTATATATAAGAAGGTCAATGTATTAAGAATTTTTATAGAAACATAATCATTAAAATACACAATTTCAACAAAATTAGACGTCTGTTAGCAAATAGTAATTAGTACGCGACGCGTCACCCGCGTAGCACAGACACGTCTAACCCTACAATCTAACGTGACATTTAGAATATTTTCCACCTTATGATAAAGTGACTGAAGTGAGACACTGAGAACAACATTTTTATATCTAACTACTCTCGAGAGAGTGTTTACTACAGGTGTATAATTAATAAAAAACGTTATATACGAATATATTTCATTTAGCCTCGTATAAAACTACACTGATTCGCATGTACGACACTATCAGCAACCAAAAACAATTTACATAATTTCATTCAGCATTGCGAGTAATCGGGATGTTGAGATAATTGCGCTCTAGCTCACACTGAGGAAAGACACTTTAGGTTTTCAGAGAAAACTTTTTCCGAGCATAGCCTCTGTTGAATTTTGGGATCCACATTTTCCTTATATGTATACTACTCCTGATGCTCCTGACATGGCCGTAGCTAGCGTGGGTGGGGTAAGGGACACAGAGGCGTTCCCACGCCAGACAGTGGCGATACGTAGGCCTACTACTACTTTGTGAATAACCAACGACGAACTGCCCCGAACTGCCCACAGTCAACTACTCAGAACACAACCGGCGCGTGGCTGTGCCCCTAGGCAAATAATGTTGGCTATGCCCCTTTCCGAGTATGTTCTCACTACTGGTGACGTGTGTAATGTCAACAACATTCTATATGCAATGCCATGACTAGCAGGATGGGGGAAAGTGGGGGCCGTTGCCCCCTCACCGTTTGGCATCGGCAAGGACGATTTGCACCAGGCCAAATCTCCAGAAAGCAAACCGTTTGCTATACAGCCCTGAGTAGTGTATCAATGTGGTTGTTATGATAATGTGAAAGTTCACACCCACGGTCCACCATTTGGTTTATACACACCAAAACCCTAAATACTGAAACCCCTAACTAATCGTAAATACCCTTTATATAATTCTGTAAGTTTGATATGCACAGTTTGCAATATTTTATAAAAAAAATGCAGATTTATTGACATGGAATAGAAATGTATAAGGCGCACAGTATAATACCTACACTTCACATAAATAATTACCTAAAACAACGAGTCGTGTAGTGTGTGTGCGCGCGCGCGTGCGTGCGTGCGTGCCTGCGTGAGTGCGTGCGTCGTGTGCGCTCATGTGCTCCTCCTTTATGACTGAGCCTGCTCTTGCGAACTGAAGCTGACTCCGCGGATGCGGTCATACTCTCTTGATGCAGCGGCGGCGCTAGTATCGATCCGCCTTCAGTACATGAAAAATGGCTGCGATGGAGCGCTGCAAGTTTCATATTTCGTGTTTGTGGTCAGTTATCAGTAGTCAAGGATAAAACTATTTGCATATTCTTGCACGTAGCCAAGACGAGCAATTCAGAAATGAGTCAAGGAGACGGTAGCCAAGACTCAGCCGTAGATGCAGAAGTAGCTCATTTCTATAAGTACAGTACGTATAATTATTAAATTAAAAAAATAATAGGCCTACTACCTACCAGTACCAGTACCAGTACCAGTATTAGTACTATTAGTATTACTATTAGTATTACAGTATTAGTACTATTACTAATACTATTATTAGTATTACTAAAAAGTATAGAATGATATTCTTGGTGTAACCTAATTTACCTTTAAGTAGACCTACACTTTACAGCCCTACGCCTAAGCGTACGTGTAGGCGCTTACTGTATCGGTGTACTATCATAATGTTTGTCGACCGTATAACTTTCGACGCAACTCTTACAATGACTACGGCCCTTAGTAAGGGCTCTTTAAGTTTATTTACTGGAAAGTAAAACCGGTTCCAATTAATTTTGTAAACATAACCCTAGCAACACCCCTCAACCGTGACCATAACCCTCTAGCCTAACCCTTAACCCCTAACCATAACAATTTGTCAATTATTTATGCAAATATTAAGGATTATATACTGTAGTGCTGTAGCGGGTGTGTCAGAAGTTATACAATAATCTCTTAAACCTTGTGTACATGCTTTGCTTTTCATAAGAATCATTGGTATACACTCCCTAAGAAAACTTATGGGCTTCACAATTTAGTTGCCGACCACTCGCCGCTCGGTACGTTTTGCCAAGTTGACAAGTGTCCACAACTCCAAAACCTGCTGGTTTTACTGATCTTATACCCCAGGGCGCGATAAACCTGCTTGCCCAGGGCAACCAAAATTCGCCCCTGGGCAAGTAGCTTGAAATTGCACTGGCCCGTTCGGGCAAGCAAGTTTTTTTCATTGAATGTCTAGACATAATGATATTTTTCTGTTTCCACCCATCCCTTGCATTGTTTTGCACAGACACAACATTGCGCTACCTTGCTGCAACAAGATTTGAATGAAAAATACAATGCGAATGAAACAATCGGTGGATACAGTGATATACACAACATGCACACAGCAACATGTAAACCCGGCCCCCAGGCCAGGCATGGCCATTACGTGATCAGCGTAAATCTCAAACCTCAAATGTTTGCCCCTCTAAGTAGTGCAACCTGTGAACGAGGATTTTCTTTGCTGAAGTACACAAAAACAGGTACACTGTATACTGTGCTGTCGGTCTATTATATCTGCATGCATGCACCACTATATTCTCTGCGCTTACGATCCAGCCCCAAATAAACCTGAACATATTTTATTAATTTATTGGGAGTGTGGTGGTTTTTGATAATAAACTGACACTTAAAAAAGTTAAAAATTTAAACAAACTGCGTGCTGTGTCCCAACATGAATATATTTTCTTATACAAACTCGTATCAGCTGTTCAACTTTCTACCGTGCCGTTAAGTGAAATGCTGGATGTTGACTAGTTGGACCTTCATTTACGTTATTTACCATTTAAATTCATATTAGAAAAAAAACCTAAATGTATTTCTTTATGTTTTTTGGGCAAGTGACTTTTGCATCTGGGCAACCATTTTCATAACCCACTTTAATTTTTTTTTTTTTAGTAGCACCTTGTACCCAATTTGTTCCTTACCACATATCAGATCCAATTGTCTACAGCAAACATGTGTTGCCAGACTTTGTTCCTCCTTGTTTTCATGTGTAAAAATTCCAAGGGGCCATTGTTAGAAAGATGATCAAGTTATCACAAAAATTCATGACATTTTTGACTTATGATTGTCATCTTGTCGACCTTTTGGCAATAGCCCTGAGGAACTGAACTAACCAATAGCTAGCACAAAATACCAGCTTTCAAGTACCCGAATGGGAAACCCTGTATATATTCCCTCAATATGTTGATATTATAGCACACATTGATGTCTATGCTTAAATGGAAATAGTGTATATACTGGAGCTGTTATCACTACGAGGTGAAAATGTGTGCTTTAGTACTGTAATTTTGATGTTTATGTACATATTTAGAACACCTTGGCCAAACAACACATTAATATTTTTATAATAACATCTGGCTTCAATGCTTTTACATTGAAATATTCTGTTCCACCAATGTTTATCTGATTACAATTGCAGTTTACGTTTTGTTTCAGCTGGAGTATGTATTAATGGACTGAAAGCTGCAGACATAGTGCCTGTGTTGAGAGAGAAAGTGGCCTATCTCTCAGGTGAGAACTGAATTATTATATATATGACAAAGCAAACAGAAGTAGATATAATAAGCCCATCAATTTTAAAAGTCTCTTAGGTTATGATGACCAGTCCACAGTGCCTTAGTGCATGTGTTCATTATCATATTTTGTCCCATGTGTAGTTTTTTGTCTAGGACCATATATGCACATATATTATAATGCTATATTAATACATAATGTATAGAATTTTGCATTAAAGCAATGATTCTCATGTGTTCTCAACCGTTCTCATAATTTGTTGACTGTTCTGATACTCATCGTTACTCCTTGCATAACACCAAGTGTATACAGTAAGGTTAACATGCATTAGAACAATCACACATCATTATTTTTACCAGTGTGCATGCCAATTTGTATTTAAAAGTAGATTTGTTTATATTTGTCATCACTACCATCACACGCTTCTTGCTCTCGTGACACATCTCCGACCAGTACCCTGTCTGCCAGGCCCCTCCCTACGTTGCGCAAACCGGGCACGCCCGCCCCGTTTGGGAAAACTCCCACATTTCAATCATTGCGCCCCGTTTAAATTACCTCTGCCCCGATTAAATTCGACCACAATAAAAGTTTGACAGCGCGGGAATCGATCGTCAAGAATTCCCATTCGACCAGGCCACCGGTTCCCGGACGCGAAATTATTTTTCCCACTTGAGTTCCGGACCCCAATCTTTCCACAGCCAATCAGCGCACTCCATTCAGTCGACTTCGCTCTTATTTAGCATATGTCATGTGTGATTTTCAATAATCCTGTATAGCCGAGCAGGTAGCGCGCCGGCGTTACGTCTCAACGGTCGTTGGTTCGAATCCCGTATGTTTTTTAATTATTTTCCTGTTTTCTGTATTTTTCTATCTTTATCCATTTAACTATTGTTTTCCAATTAACGCAAATATTTACATGATTTATTTACATTTTTTTATTAAATTAAATTTATTAGTGTTAATTAAATTTAATTAGGGTTAGGGTTAGGGTCCGGAACTGCAGTGGGAAACAAAATTTCGCGGCCCGGACGCGTGTGCATAAACGCCCTACACTACGCATGAACTGCAGAGCACACACAACTACAAACAGCCAACCTGCCCAAAACCCTAACACTAACTGTAAACCGACTCGGCTGTCTTATATACAAGTACCCCAAATACCGTCTATGGTGTGGTGGCGATTTTACGCATTACGGTAAAAAAACACGCCCCCCGGACCCCCTTAGTTTCCCCTTCCCCCTCACCCTCTCTACACATTTATGTTTATGCTGTGTTAAGGCCGGCTTATATCGGCCTTACGACCTAGTCGCCGACAAGATTTGAATATCGTACGTCAAAAACTGGCCAGATCGCCGATAAAAACATCGGCGACCAAACTCGACATGAGTTCTCTTACGATCGAAAATACGGTCGCCGACTGCGATCGCAGGAATAGAACATGTTCTATTTCTATGCGGCTGTCGGCGACAAATCGTGAGTGGCAGCCAATCACCGCAGCGTACCGAGTCACATAATTATCAAAAGTCACGTGATTAATAAAATGGCAGCCTACACAGCACGCCGTCAGCAGTTTACAAGGAGGGATTATTGCACAAACCCTTTCTCAAGTATATATTAAGTTTTCCGTATATCACATGAAAAATATTTCTGCACATGATGATAACGATGTTCAGAAAATTGAAGATAGATTTACGAAGTTACATGATGTTTACTGGTAAGCGCCATTTTGTTGGTCACGTATGTGACTCGTTTTATGTAGACTGGTCCCGGCGTCAAGCTTGCTCTGTTTGTGCTAAAGAACTGCTTGTGCTAGTACAAATACTGGGGCCGCGAACCCGTCTACGTTTCAGGCAGGAACGCTACGATCTGATCGGCAATGTGCAGCGTAGTCACTTCAAGTTGACATGAGTGTTGCTACGCTGCTAATCGGCGATAAAGTAGTCGCCGATAGTCAAATCGTAGGCCGACATAAGCGGGCCTTTAGTGTTTTTAGCTCATCTGACGTAGTCAGATGCAGCTTGTAGAATCGCATGATCGTGCGTGCGTCCGGCCGTTCGTTCGTCCGTGCGTCAACAGTTGGGCACAAATCTTAACCGCTTGACGTATGGTCAGGATATTAGGGACGTCGGGGGGGATCGTGAAAAGGACTCAGGATGACAAATTTGAGGGTCAAGGGTCAAAGGTCAAGATGTGTAAACGGAGGGGGAATATTTCCCCCTTAACTTAAGGTATAGGGGGAAATACGGAATTGCGGCACAAATCTTAACGGCTTGACCTATGCTCTTAATATTCGATGTATAGTGTGATGGGCAAGAAACCCATCACCAGTGCGAAATTGGAGGTCACAGGTCAAAGGGCAGTGGGGGAAAGGTCAGATATCAGACATTTTCTGAGGACACGGCCTAATGGACAGAGTCAAAAACTTTTTTGCTTCAGCGCTGACCTACCATTTTTATCACTTTATTGAAAGGACCATGAAATGTGCTTTCCACTGACGTGCGAAGAGTAAGTGTCTGATAACCTTTTGACCCTCAAGCGTAGGGTTAAACATGGGTTCCTGAACTGCCTCAATGACGTCACAGTGTTGTCATATTCATGGCACATCCATAATCTAGAAACCTAATAAGCCTGGATAGCCGAATGCCTAAAGCACAGGCGCCACGGCTCCAAGGTCGTTGGATCAAATCCCATCTGATTTTTTATTATTTACCTGTTTTCTGTATTTTTCTATCTTTAACCATTTAGCTATTTTTTTCCAATTAACGCAAATATTTACATGATTTATTTACAACAATTTAATAACAACAAATAATTTTTACAACAATTAATTAAAAAAATAAATAGGGTTAGGGTTAGGTTTAGGGTCACAATGCACTATAAAACAGTAGTTTCAGGCACGCGATTTGTATCAACCAATGGGATTTGGGAGGTATGCAGAATGCAGAAGGTTGCCGAAATGATGTGTACGCCAACTGCGTATCTGCATCTCCTCGCGCCTAACCAAAGGTTCACTAGACACACGACTTTAAATGTTTATGTTTTATAACCGTAGCAACAGACCTCAGATGAGCCCAGACGCTCTGCGGCTCTTGTTATGTTTATGTGCTTCTGATTGGGTCATGGCAGATATTCAATCCTCTTTCGTGCAGTGCTATTTATTGGGTTGCTTGAGAATGATAGTAAATTTCATACTATCCAAAATATTATATATATATATATATATATATATATATATTTGTAATGTACATATTATACTCAATATCAAAAACTTGTAGGACAGCAATCATATCATGGTGTTTGCATATTCTTTGAAGCATAGATCTAGTTCTCTTTCTCTGCTTTAGTACCTTGTATGCACTGACACCCGCGTCCAATTCTTAAATTCGGCATGATCCACCACTAGTTTTATACTATACCATCACCAACTCAATGTCACTCACAGTATCAGTTGTAATGAAGTAGGAATACAAAATAGCAAAGATCATGAAAATATAATTGCTAGTTGTTAAGGTTTCAGAATTACTTGAACAGAGTCTGGATGTATATTTGGCCAGGGTGCGAATTACACCGTCCCACGGCATACTGGCGGCAATTATTTGGAGGGTCAGTAACATTGGCAAATCACCGGCCTCCGACCTAGTAGTTCAGAGATGAGTGTTGAGTCGAGGTAACCTATCCTTTCTTAGCTCGCCTTGACATTCGCGTTCAAGATGAGCTATTTGCCATGAGTTGTCGGTACGTCCCGTCGGTCCGTTCGTGACCGTCCGTTCGTTCACCATTTGGCTACGGTCCGATAACCCAAGAATCCCGATTTTGACCTCCACATTGTTCTCAAATTGCAATATAATACGTTAGCTCCTATGGGGAGAGGTTTTAACGTGCTCTTTTGAGGCATGCACGTCGACCTACTCTACTTTCGAGCGACTTCCACTTTTTGCGAAAAATGGAAATGGCCGTATAGTCAAACAGGTTCAACGATTTTGCTCATTTCTGTATGTGAATGAATAAGGACTGGCCCAACACATATCACACGGGTTTTGATATTTTTTGTGAAATTATGCAAATTAGGTAGATTTTAGCAATTTCACTATGCATTTCAGTGTCTGCCTACGGTCACGATAACTCAAATTGCATAGCAGTTGTTACTCTTATGGGAGAGATTGAACGTCCTATTTTGGAGCACGCCAGTCGACCTACTTTTGAGGCACAGCGTCTACTTTTTGCAAAAATGAAAATGCCATCTACATTCATTCGATTTTGTTAAATTTTGGTATATGAATGTGTAAGGCTAGCCCAAAACAGTTGTTACTCCTATGGAGAGATGACAACGTCCTATTACGTTTATTTCGTCTAACTGGTTAACAACTTACAATCATCCTATATATATATAACGTGTAATATTGTGTTTTAGATTCTTCGTTACAGTAATTTGACTGGAATATTTTATGTTTTTATTTGCGCGAATTTCAAAAACCAAAAGGGCGATCATTTAGGCATAGCACCATCTCTCATCAAGATTTCAGATTCCGTTCTGAAACATTTATTTTCGCATCAAAACTTTTGCATATATCATTATCAAGAGTGTATAATGGGAGATATGCTATATAATGGGAGTTCTCCATATATACTCTTGCTTATATATCCCCCTCCCCCTCCCTCTTCATCACAGGCGCCCAAGGTGAGCTACATACACACCTATAAAGGTATATATAAGGTATACACACATACACACACGTAAGGTGAGCTACATACACACATATAGGTATATATATGGAGGTTATATATACTAGCATATTAAGGTGAGCTAATACAGTGTCATTGACACCTTTCATTATTATACGCATTAATGAGCAAAATAGCCTACATTACTGTTTTACCTGTAAGTATATCACACTGTAATTGTATCAACATTTTATTAAATTTGAAATTGATAATGCAAGCGTGAACATGGCATTGACAAAAACACTTCGAGCATTATTCATGATGCTGCATTATACTATTTATATGTCTTGTTTCAACAGCTACTATGCGATGCCGCACAACTACAAAAATTTTCGGACAAGCAAGAGTCAGTGATGTACAAAATTTGTGAGGGCTGGTAAAAAACTGGCTGTTACGAGCCCTATGGGCTGGTGCGAAAAATCTGCATTTCCATGCCTTGTTTGCCATTTTCACAGGTGGACGAATGGAACAGGAGCTGCCTATCCTGACATTTCCGCGGTAGACAGTCATCTGAACGGTTCAAACCGGATGACTGCGAAAGCTGATACGTATTAGCCAGCGTGCCATGGTATATATATGCAACGTATATATGCATGTGTGATCTGTCATGTAAGCTGTTACTCTAGTTATCATGCCTGAATGTCGTACAAAACTAGATGTTAAGAGTACCGACCTTTGCCATTATATATTATTGCTACCTTTGATATGCATGGCATCTGCTGTAAATGTAATAGGCTATAACATATGTCGTACATAGGTTTTATGCACAATGCATGGCTGCGTCGATACTGTGCAGTTGAATGGATGTGTAATTCTCGACTGTTATGTATATCTCCAGCTATCTGGTGTAATGAAATAACAGTCAAATTTGAAGAAAAAAAAGTGAAATGAGATTGAAATTGTGGTTTTCTGTAAGGAGTGATCCTTGTATAAAAGCCATCACATGGGTAATAATTAACTTTGGCTATTTTGCTATAGTGAGGAAGTAAAGGAACTTGGATTCATTGTCATCATAGACATGCGAGGTTCCAGTGGGACAGTGTCAAACTCTACTAAAGGTGCTACAGGTATGTAAACATGCTGTGCTCTAGACAAAGTGCAGGTTTTAATCTTTAGTACTGCACATTAAGAATAGCGTTTGAAGTATGTAAACTGTATACCTATTGAAGGTTACCCCTAATTGTTTTAAAAATTTGAAGTAATTTCATGTTCAAGTAAATAAGTACATATATGAATACCTATAAATGTGATTTTTAGCTCACCTTGACATCGTCAAGCTGAGCTATTGCATGGGTCGTCGTACGTCGTCCGTCGTCGTCCGTCTTCCGTCAACATTTGGGCTACGGTCAACGATAACTCAGGAACCGTTTGACCCACATGTTTGAAATTGGGTATAGTTATTACTGCTATGCTCCCATATTGAACGTCCTATTTTGGAGCACGCCAGTCGACGTACTTTCAAGCCACGGGAATTTTTTGGCAAAAATGGGAATTTCCATTAGTCACTTCAGGTTCAATGGATTTTGCTTATTTTTGGTATGTGAATGAATAAGGGCTAGGGGTTTTGATATTTAAAAAAAAGCAAATTAAGTAGGCTTTGGCAATTATATAGCATATTATATAGACACGCAGATAACAGTGCGGTGTCACACTCGTCTGGTTCGTTTTACAAGATTTCATTGACAATATCTTTAATGCAAAATTGGTATTTCCTCTCCACCCTGCCGATAAAACGTCTACATTAGAGTAAAGTTTTACAAAACGTGTCGGAACGCAGCATAACCTATTTATTTTGAACGCCATCGCTAAGAAACATCAAAGCGGGTATAGCGCCATCTACCGTCACAAATTGTGATTCAGTTTGGTTTATAAATTATTATTGCGATATACAGATGGCAACCGTGTGCTATCGCCTAGAAAAACTCATACGAAGTAAACACTTCCATGCAACCAATTAATCTTTGACAAAAGTTGTGTTATGAGCAGGGAAACGCCATTGTCACGTGGTATATAGCAGCTACGTGGAATAAGCGTATTCTCTCAATCTTACACGTTACACATCGGGAGCTCCGCTTTTAGGCAGTGCCTAAATCTGAATATTATAAAAACGTTAAATGGCGATCATTTAGGTGTAGCACCATCACTCGCCCACATCTCAGACTTTCACATCTCAAACATTTATTTGCACATAAAAAATTGCACATATAATTATCAAGAGTATATAATGGGAGTTCTCCCATATATACTCTTCGTTTCTATAATGTACGTCGATGGTTGCTCAATTAAAACTGACTTCTTCTCACTCACTCATTTGTGTTCTTTTTTGTGGTGAGCTGCAGTGTCATTGACACTTTCATTATATTAAAAATAAGTGCATGTTCACTTACTGACTATAATCCTTATTGTTTTACCAATTAAAACAAACACATATATTCATTTACAAAAGAATGATATAATTTTATGATATTTGAAGGAAATACATTATTACCGAAGTACTATACTACTAGTGTTTTCACTACTATTGTTTAAATCCACAGGAGTGCTTCCCAGGCAACATTCATATGGCATACATCATTAAACCAGAAAACTTTTGGCAGAAGCAGAAAACGAGTATTGGGAGTGCCAAGTACAAATTTGAGGTAGGCAACCTTGCCCATTTATGATTCTAGTGGACATACTTTCATCATGTGACAGATTCTGCCAAATACATTTTAAACATGTATGAATGCCTTGGTTATATTAATACCTACTGTCAAGATCAGCTACTGTTATTATCAGAGTAATAAGAATGTGGCTAGCTATATTGTGGAAATTCTAAAAGGGGCAGCTAAATTTAGCCCCATTTATTGTAGGTGTTATCAGAACCAATATATAAATAGATGAAGTAGAAATGTGCCATTTGAATCATGTAATGCATGTTGTGTGATACGAATCAGACTGTGAGAGAACATACATGCATATGTTGCTTACTGTTCCTGCTTTTCAATTGCGACTGTCTATCTCTCCATTTAACATTTGACGTGCATCAAACATCAGCTAGCAGTGGAGAAATGGCGATCTCACATCTGGTTTACATTTTCGCACAGACGAGCATGATCTCTGTGGAAAGTCTTACCAAAATCATTGATCCTAGTCAACTAACAACCGAGTTCGAGGGTAGTCAGGAGTACGACCACGAAGAGTGGATACAGTTGCGATTGGTAAGTTTTGATAATCCATGAAGCCTATAGTGCACTAATATGGATATCTCTATTGGTCATTATTGCCATGCAACGTATTAGCCAGTAAGCCATGCAGCCGTGATTTGCACGGTCAGTTTGGATACTGCATGGCCAAAAAAATTTATATAATGGGAGTTCTCCCATATATACTCTTGCTTTATATATCCCCCTCCCCCTTCCCTCTTCATCACACCCAAGGTGAGCTACATACACACATATAAGGTATATATATAAGGTATACACACATACACACACGTAAGGTGAGCTACATACACACATATAAGGTATATATAAGGTTATATATACATACATATAAGGTGAGCTAATACAGTGTCATTGACACTTTCATTATTTATAGCATTAATGAGCAAAATAGCCTACATTACTGTTTTACCGGAAGTATATCACACTGTAATTTATCAACATTTTATAAATTTGAAATTGATAATGCAAGCGTGAAACATGGCATTGACAAAAACACTTCGGACATTATTCATGATCTGCATTATACTATTTATAGTCTGTTCAACAGCTACTATGCGATGCCGCACACTACAAAAATTTTCGGACAAGCAAGAGTCAGTGATATACAAAATTTGTGAGGGCTGGTAAAAAAACTGCTGTTACCAGCCCTATGGGCTGGTGCGAAAAAATCTGCATTTCCATGGCCTGTTTGCCAATTTTCACAGGTGGACGAGATGGAAGAGGAGCTCCTATCCTGACATTTCCCGGTAGAAGTCATCCTGAACGGTTCAAACCGGATGATCTGCGAAAGCTGATGACGTATTTAGCCAGCGTGCCATGGTATATATATGCAACGTATATATGCATGTGTGATGCTGTCATGTAACTGTTACTCAGTTATCATGACCTGAATGTCGTACAAAACTAGATGTTAGAGTTACCCGACCTTTGCCATTATATATTATTGCTACCTTTGATATGCATGCATCTGCTGTAAATGTAATAGGCTATAACACATGTCGTACATAGGTTTTATGCACAATGCATGGCTGCGTCGGCATACTGTCAGTTGAATGGATGTGTATTCTCAACTGTTATGTATATCTCCAGCTATCTTGGTGTAATGAAATAACAGTCAAATTTGAAGAAAAAAAAGTGAAATGAGATTTGAAATGTGGGTTTCTGTAAGGAGTGATCCTTGTATAAAAGCCATCACATGGGTAATAAATTAACTTTGGCTATTTTGCTATAGTGAGGAAGTAAAGGAACTTGGATTCATTGTCATCATAGACATGCGAGGTTCCAAGTGGGACAGTGTCAAACCTCTACTAAAGGTGCTACAGGTATGTAAACATGCTGTGCTCTAGACAAAGTGCTGGTTTTAATCTTTATACTGCACATTAACGAATAGCGTTTGAAGTATGTAAATGTATACCTATTGAAGGTTACCCTAATTGTTTTAAAAATTTGAAGTAATTTCATGTTCAAGTAAATAAGTACATATTTAACAAACGATGAATACCTATAAATGTGATTTTTAGCTCACCTTGACATCGTCAAGCTGAGCTATTGCCATGGGTCGTCGTACGTCCGTCCGTCGTTCGCCGTCTTACCGTCAACATTTGGCTACGGTCACACGATAACTGCAGCGACGTTTGACCCACATGTTTGAAATTTGGGTATGAGTTGATTACGGGCTATGCTCCTATTTGAAGCGTCCTATTTTTTTTGGAGCAGCAGTCGACGTACTTTCAAGCACGGAATTTTATTGGAAAAATGGGAATTTGCATTAGTCACATTCAGGTTCAAGTGGATTTTGCTTATTTTTGGTATTGAATGAATAAGCAGGGGTCTGGCGGTGGTTTTTGATATATTAAAAAATTTTTTTAAATTTTTTTTTTTTAAAGGCAAATTAAGTAGGCTTTTGGCAATTAAAACTAGCAATTATATATAGACAGCGCAGATAAACAGTCGCGTGTCACATCTCGTCTGAGTTCGTTTTTACAAGATTTCATTGACAATATCTTTAATGCAAAATATGGTATCTCTCCTCCCCTGCCGCATAAACAGTCTACATTAGAAGTAAAGAGTTTTACAAAACGTGTCGGAACGCAGCATAACCTCATTTATTTTGAACGACGCATCGCTAAGAAACATTCAAAAGCGGGTATGCGGCCATCTTAACGGCGTCACAATTGTGATTTCAGTTGGTTAATAAAATTATTATTCGATATACAGCATGGCAACCGTGTGCCTATCACGCACTAGAAAAAACTCAATACGAAGTAAACACATATCATGCAACAATTAATACTTTGAGCAAAAGTTTGTGTTATGAGCAGGGGAAACGCCATTGTCACGTGGTATACTGAGCGCAGCTACGTGGAATAAGCGTATTCTCCTCATCTTAGCACGTTTACACATCGGCGAGCTCCGGCTTTTAGGCAGTGCCTACATCTGAATATTTTATAAAAACTTAAATGGGCGATCATTTAGGTGTAGCACCATACTGCGCGCCACACTCAGACTTTCACATCTCTCAAACTATTACTTTGCACATAAAAAATTGGCACATATAATTATCAGAGTATATAATGCGGCAGCTTCTCCGCATATATACTCTTCGTTTCTATATGCTACGTCGATGCGTTGCTCAATTAAACTGACTTCTTCTCACTCACTCATTTGTGTTCTTTTTTGTGGTGAGGGCTGCAGTGTAATTGACACGTTCATTATATTAAAATAAGTGCATGTTCACTTACTGACTATAATCCTTAGTTGTTTTACGCAATTAAACAAACACATATATTCATTCTACAAAATGAATTGATATACATTTGTTGATATTCTGAAGGAAATACTTATTACCGAAGTACTACTACTAGTGTTTTCACTACTATTGTTTAAATGCCACAGGGTGGCTTCCCAGGCAACATTCCATATGGCATACAATCATTAAAACCAGCAAAACTGTTTGCAGAAGCAGAAAACGAGTATTGGAGTGCCAAGTACAAATCTTTGAAGGTACGGCAACACTTGCCATTTATGATTCTACGTGGACATACTTTCATCATGTGAGCAGATTCTCTCCAAATATATTTTAAAACATGTATGAGCTTGGTTATTATTAATACGCTACTGTCAAGATCAGCTACTGTTATTATCAGAGTACTAAGAATGTGGCTAGCTATAATTGTGGAAATTCTAAAAGGGGCAGCTAAATTTAGCCGCCATTTATTGTAGGTGGTTATCACCGAACCAAATATATATACGATGAAGTAGAATGTGCCATTTGAAAATCATGTAATGCTGTTGTGTGATACGAAATCAGCTGTTGAGAGACATACATTGCATATGTTGCTTACTGTTTCCTGCTTTTCAATTGCGCACTGTCTATCTCTCCATTAACATTGACGTGCATCAAAAACATCGCTAGCAGTGGAGAAATGGCGATCTGCACCTTGTTTACATTTTTTTCGCACAGACGACGCATGATCTTGTGGAAAGTTTACCAAATCATTTGATCCTAGTCTAACTAACAACGTGCGAGTTTCGAGGGTAAGTCAGCGAGTACGACCACGAGGAGTGGATACAGTTGCGAAGTTGGTAAGTTTTTGAATTAATCCATGAAGCCATGTGGCACTAATATGGATATCTCTATTGGTCATTATTGCCATGGCATACGTAATTATGCCAGTAAGCCGTGCAGCCGTGATTTGCACGGTCAGTTTGGATACTGCATGGCCAAAAAAATAAAAAATGTTAAAAATTAAAAAAAATTCCGGGGGAGGCCCCTTGTACCCCCAATGAGAAGGGTGAACCCCTCTCATACTCCCCCCCCCCGTAAACGCCCACGGCGGTTTGGCTGAGACACACACAAAAATTGCACTCCCAAATATTTTTTCTGCACTCCCATAATACTCATTCCTAGCTAATATGCTGTTGCCATGACCAATCTCATCTGTCTGCTGAACTTCTGAGCCAGTAAAATCTTCTCTTTATAGCTGATCCTCCTACCCATTTCATCTCTCTTACTGACTCCCTGTTTCTCATCCCATTTTGTGCTGAACCCCTGTTTATTATACCAGCTCCTCCACACTTCCTCTGACACTCCGTGTTTCTCATCCCATCTTTTCTATGGAATCCCTGTTTCAAATCCTGTATGATGTATCATATACTATCTGTTTTGCATTGAATGCATTTTTATATCCTTCCTTTTATGTTTTTCTCTCTCCTGTTGATACTGGCTTTAATCTCCTCTCTATACTGACCTCATATTTTAGCAAACTTTTTTCAAACGGAATTTATATATCAATATTATATTGCATAATCTTACTGTTTAAAGTCTTTGACATGCTATTTCGCATTCAGTGAATTGCATAGCATACATTTTGATGTAGCTACATGGTCTTTTGCTACGTCATGGATATGGCTACAACATATGTTTTAAAGGAGATCTATACTGTCAGAGCAGGGTATTAGCCAGGAATGAGTATTGTCACGTGGGAGTGCAGAAAAAACATTTGGGAGTGCAATTTTTGTGTGTCTCAGCCACGCCATAGGCATTCATGGGGGGGGAGTATGAGAGGGGGTACGGGGCCTCTCCCAGAAATATTTTTCATTTTTTGGCCGTGCAGTTTCAAAACTGACCGTGCGAATCACGGCTGCATGGCTCGCTGGCTAATACGTTGTGTCAGAGAGTAATGTGACATTGTATGGCGTCTGCATGAAGTGGGCTAATTGCCCTGAAAAGTATTTGAACCAGCAAAAAATAGATGTAAGGTTTTTCATGCTGTGGTATTCACAGGGTCAAAATGTGCAAAAACCTCAGCCAGCTATGTAGTTAGGGTAAGAAAGAAATAGCTGAAACATATCGTATTCTAGCAGCCAAGTGGAATGTAAATTTTATTTAACTATAAGAACACCTAATTTAACTATAAAGAATTGTTGTTTTAGACTTACTGGTTGTTAATTGCTGCTACATTTAATGCGTAATTTATATTGACAGCTTTCTAATAGCTGGAATTACGTGGGTTTAGAGTCTTGAGTCGGTTTTAAATTTTCTTAAAATGTAAAAATGATAGTCTATTTGATCTATTTCTAAATGGTATTTTAACAGATGGAATGGCTGGTCATGTGTTTGTTTATATCGAAATATTTGTAGCTGTTGGAGGATTTTATTAGCAAAGCTTTGGACCTTTTGGACAAGCTCGAACAGCTTAAGCGTGAACTAGGTAGCAGTGAGCTATCAGAGACATTAGATGGTAAGCTGCACTACTGTACTTTGTAATAGACATTTTGTGCACTTTAATGGGTCTGTATGTGTGAGTAGGGTTGCAGTAATTCTGTATTTGTGTGCGTGCGCGCAGGTGTGTGTGCGTGCGTGTGTGCGTGCATGCGTGCGTGCATGCATTTGCCTATGCGTGTGTGCGTGCGTGCGTGCGTGCATGTGCCTATGCGTGTGTGCGTGCGTGCGTGCGTGCATGTGCCTATGCGTGTGTGCGTGCGTGCGTGCGTGCATGTGCCTATGCGTATGTGCATGTGTGTCTTTGTGCGGCTCATAGGGTCTATGTCCCCCAGGGTACTATCGGAGGCTACCCTGGGTACGGTTCGATATATGGGGACGTACCCTGGTAACTATCTGATATGGTTAGGGTTAGGGAGTAGGCGTAGGCGACTTCCTAGACTCGTTAGTGGAGTAGGCGAGGTACGGTCCGGCATATTAGATAGTACCAGGGTACCCTCCGATAGTACCCTGGGGGACATAGACCCTCTCAGCCTTTGTGCGTGTATGCACGTGCACATAATGATTGTGTGTGGAGCCTGTGCGTGGGCATTTAGTAGTGTATACATTTATATATACGTGTGTATGTAAGTTTGAGGTCTGTTTTTAGAAGGGTAAATTGGCTGTTATCATCATTGCCTTGAAGCTGTTTTAAGCAAGCATCTATAAAGGAAAATGGCTAGATCTGTACGACTGACCGGTCAATAAGGTCTGATCATCCACCAATCGGGAGTTCATATGTTCTGGGGTGGACATGTGGGTTTTACATGCTGAATTTCAGGTCATTTTTTCATTATTTTACAATTTACCTGTTCTACACAGGCTGTGAATGACTAACCTGTAACAACCCGGTGTTGTTTTCAGGTGCTAAGAAGACTATTGAGAATCATAATTTGTCAAAGAAAAAGATCATGAAGGCTCCCATTGAGAATCTGGATAAGGAGGGACAGGCTGTGCTGGAAAAGCTCAAGCCAAGAAACAATGCCGAAGGTTTATATTTGCTGTGTTATTAAGAATTTTAAGCAATGTAGCAGTGATTCATATATATATT